AGGAGGAGTTAGCAGGAGAAAGGGGAATGAATATGAAAAAAAAAAAACAATAAAACAAAACAACAACAAAAACATGTGCATGTATGAAATTCTCTAAGAATGAATACAAACATATAACACTCCCTCCCAGGCAGTAGCCCTGCAGTTCTTATCAAGTGCTTCTGTGTCCTTTTACCATGTGACTTTCCAGTTCAGACTACTTCTTGCTCCTTTGACATGTGACTTTTAATCCATGTACACTGGGATCAAGTCAAGGAATTTGTGCATACTAGGGACTGAGCTACAACTCTGACCCACCCATCCTTCCTCCCCTCCTCTATTCCTTTCTCTGTGTCTCTCCTTCAGTCCTGAAGTGAACAGGAGTGAACCACCATGACCACACCCTTCATTAACTCTTATTTTTTGAACTGATGATGAGAGAAAACCAATAAGAAATGGGGAGAGAGCGAAGCGAAATAATAATATTAAAAGCAGCAGGAGACTGCTTCCTGGGTCCCTCTGGGCTTGCCCTGCTCTCCCACCCTCTCTCTGGGCAAGTTCTCACCTTTGAAAAGAGGCTGAAGCATCCCAGGCGGCTCACAATGCAATAAACTTCAGGGAGCCGCTTCCCTTTGCCTCCAGGCTTTTTGGGAGAAAAACAAGAGGACATCTGAGTGTAGTGTCAGGGAAGGAGAGAACCCCATCATGTGTCAGCTGTGGAACACCTAGCAAGGTGGCCATTTTACCACTCAGAGTTCTGTTAGAATACAATACGCATTTTTTGCTTTTAAAAATACTTGTTACGTTTACTGATTTATTTATGTGGGTGTGTATATGCATACCACAAAGTCAGGGTGTCCTAACTTTTCCAGAAGTTGGACACCCTGGGGCTGGAGTTGTGGATGGCTGTGAGTGACCACGTGCATTCTGGGAACCATATTGAGGTTCTTTGCAGAAAGTAGCCAGGGCTCTAAGCCCCCAAGACAGCTCTCCAGCCCCAGTTTCTGATCCTTCCTTCCTTCCTTTCTTTCTTTTTTCTTTTTTTTTTTTTTTTTGAGACAGGGATTCGCTGTGTTTAATATCCATGGCTGTCAGGGACTCGCTCTGCTATGTAGACCAGGCCTGGAACTCACAGAGCCCTGCCTCTGCTTCCCGAGCGCTGGGATTGAAGGCATGCGCCACCACACCTGGGGCTGAAGTGTGCTCTTACTGATGGCAACAGACATCACTTCTACCTAAGAAAACCCATTGAGTCGCTAATCTCTCTCTCTCTTCCTTCCTCCCTCTGTCTGTGCTGTGATTTGAGACAGGCTGGCTCTGACTGGGATTGCAGCTGCACATTACCAGGGCTAGCCTTATCTATGTTCTTAACTCCCTGGTTAACCTGCTGCCACCTGCTCCTTCTCCAGCAGCAGAGGTGACACCTGAGTCTCAAGGGGCTGGCTCTCTGAGAAGCGCTGGCCGAGCAAAAGGCAGAGTACTAACCAGAAGTCTCCGGCAGTAACCAAACCGTCTGCTTCCATCTTCTCCAGTTAAGACAAACGAGAATGTTTCACTGTGGTTGTGGAAACACAAACAGGTTACAAAACACGACAAACCCAAAGGCTCACGCCCACTGGAGCAGTGAAGTGGCAGTAAGCAAGAGGGCAGAGGGGGGAAGGTGGGAGTCAATGCTCCTCGCTCTGACTGCCCATCTCTTCTTGAGACTCAGGCCGGCCAAGTAAATGTCGAGGAGGCAGAGTGAAAATGTCCTGAGAGGAAATGAGGCTTTCTACCCTGAGCTGTCCCATAATTCTTTTACCTGAGCTATCCTAGGGTAGATACAGCTATTCCCTACTCTGACTGCAGGGATGGAAGAGGGATAGCTGTTCCTCTCGAGCGGAAGGTGAGGATGGGACTCAGGAGGGAAGAGCCAAGGAGAGACCAGGTCTGGGCCTTGCTCAGGACTGGCTGTGGTGTGGTTCTCTGACAGGAATGTTCTTACACAGCTACCTTGAGGCCATCAGAATGCTTCCGGAGCCCTGTGTGGGCAAGGATGGGGGACTAGCCACTTCCCTAACTTTTCCCAGACTAAGATAATATTGGGGAGGCTTCTCAAACAGACCTCCAGACTGTGTGGAGGCTTCATGAATACCCATGTAGAAGGTACCTTTTGTCTCAGGGGAGTTTTAAAAAGCCCACAGGGGAAGCCTCTAGGCTTCTAACTCCCGAGTTACAGGTTGTGCTACCTATGACCTCCTTATTGACCCCATCCAACTCAAACTTCGGATGTGGGGCGAGAGTGTCAGAAGCTCTTACCTGGTAAACTCCTGGACAGGAGCCCAGTCCTTGGCATCAGGGAAGCAGAACTGGGGAATAGCCTTCAGTTGGTCCTCAGCCTCTCTCAGGAACTTGAACGACTTTTCTAACTGCAGAGAGAAAGATGGGAGAGGGTCACAGCCTGAACCCCAAGAAGGGCTCAGCAACTTCCCGAGGAAGGGTCTGAAGCCTGTCTGTGGGCTGTCTTCCCCGACACAGTCCAGCTGTAGTCTGAGAGGACAATCAGGAGACAGATGACCACGTGCTTCAGAGAATCGGTATTCCAGAATATAGGCTTCTGGTCAGTAAGGGGAAGTCTCCACAGCAGCCCCTTCCAACGGAGGCTTGTGGATCTGAGAGGCAGTGCTGCATGTCAGCCTTTCTGACCTCCTGTACTGTGCTGATAACTCAGTGACTACGGAGAGCATGGTCACAGTGCACAGAGAAAGCACCTCGCCCCACGGCCTCACTGAGAGTGGAACCGGAAGAGAGCCTGGCCATCAGGAGGCCCACCCTCTCTTTGCAAACAGAAGGAAACATGCCCAGTGATATAGTGGCCTCCCCTGGTCACACAGGGAATGACCATGATGGCTGGTCTCTCTGCCCCCAGCACTCAGGACAGAATCCCAGGCAGTACAAAGGGAAGGATGAGGATGAATCGAAGTCTGACTTAGAAATTATCTTTGATGTCATGATGACAGGGCGCAGTAGTGTGCATACGTAATCTCGGCCACTTATGTACATAGTGAGTTCAAGGCTGACCTGGCTCCAGGAGACTATTTCAAAACAAACAAAAAAGAAAGTAACGAGTTTGCTTATTTTGTGTATGAAATCAACAGGACGCTGTTTTCATTTCATAGGTGGTTTTTTTGTTTTGTTTTTATCCTTATTATTTACTTACTTTTATGTATAGGTTTGTGCACCTGGGCGAGTTTATGAGGTGGTGTTGGAGGCCAGAGGGCATTGGTGCCTACGGAGCTGGAGTTACAGACAGTTGTGAGCTACCTGTGGGCGCTAGAACTGGATGAAGGGCGTCTAGAAGAGTGGCAAGCACTCTTAACCACTGAGCCATCTCTCCAGACCCTTGTTCTGCTTTCCCGAGACAGGGTCTCAGCATGCAGTTCAGGCTGGCTTCAAACTCCCAAAGATTCTCCTGCCTTAGTCCTGAGTGCTAGGGTTAGAGGTGTGAGCAACCACACCTGGCTTAATGGAGTGTGGTTAGTGTGAAAATGCTGACTGCCAATCTTGAGTAAGGGGTCCTTTGGAATGTGGGATAAAACCCATTTTTTAAAAGCTTATAAAAAGTCTGGGCATGGTGGTGCACACCTTTAACCCCAGCACTTGAGAGGCAGAGGTACAGAGATCTCTGTGAGTTCAAGGCCAGCCTGGTCTATGTGGTGAGTTCCAGGTCATCCAGGGTGAAATAAGAGGGCCATTCTCAACAGGTGTGCATGCACCCGTGCACGCACCACCAAAAATCCCCCTAAACAACAAAATTATCACAAATCTACAGAATTGGGTATAGGCTGTATAGAAGTCTCTATCTCAGAACAAAACAAGGGTGTTCAGAATAAACCAGAATGAACAAAATAAAACAAATTTACAGCCAGGCGTGGTGGTGCATGCCTCTGATCTCAGCGCTTGGGAGGCCGAGGCAGGTGGATCTCTGTGAGTTTGAGGACAGCCTGGTTTACAAAGACAGTTCCAGGACAGCCTGGGATACACAGAAAAACCCTGTCTCCAAACAAACAGACAACAGCAACAAAAACAAATTTAAATTAGAAGTACCAAGAGCAAAATACATTTCCAACAGAGAAGGACCAGTTAAACAAACAAGGATTCTCTAAATACTGGGACATTAGAGAACTTCAAAAAACATGCTTCAGAATTTGTATCACATGTTTAAAAATAATATGCTTACAAGGCTGTGCGTGGACCATGATACAAAACCATATCTATGATTGCAGAATAGCAACAGAGGAAATACAGTATGAGGAAAGACTGGAAGCCAAAACACGTGCTAACCGACACAGCTCCACAAGCCTTGGAGAGCTTGTGGAGGTCACGGGTGACTCTTTCTGTCTTTCTGAATTAGCTCCATTTCCCACATAATAGTGGGAATAGTGGATAGTGACATAACTATCCCCTGAAAAAGGATTTCAGTGGGAGTCTGAGTCTCAAGGCTCCAGGCTGCCAACTGCGAGCATTCAGCAGCTGTGATGATTCAGTAATTAATTCATGACTTAATGCCTGTGTTCCTGGAGCCCCAAGTAAGCGTTACCACGTGTACAGCAATGTGCTGGGCCTCACGGGCGATACAGAGTGACAAGGCAGTTGTGGATGCCTCCGTGCCTACTGGGGCTCTCAACTGGGCTGAGTATGTCTCACATAGATGCACTGAGTAACAACCCCAAGTCCAGACTCCCATGCAGCGTGGTTTTCAGGAGAGTGTTCCTTAAAGGAGTAGCAACTGGAGGCAGAGAACAGGTGTCTGTATGGAGGGCATGTGCCCGTGTGCTTGCTTCTACTTGCACCACTGTTCTAAACGTCAAGGACCACTGTGCCAGCCCACTGTGATGAAAGAAGGCTGGATAGGAAAGGACACAGCAGGCAGACAGGCAGGGTCCAGGCCTTGGTAGGCTCTTGCCTGAGGTGATTGCCACGGATGGCCAGCTTGAACCGAGATGAGCTCCATCCCCTCCCTTTTCTCTGGAGCCCTGGTCTGTATGAGGACTGTCAATCCCCCCTCATGACAGCTCTTGTGTGTACACACACTCTTTCAGCGTACTTCTGGTTTACCTTCCTAAAGGGCAGGAAACCCATCTTATTTATTTTTATAATCACCTGGGCCAAGCAGAAAATAACTAGAATATTTAAATATAAAATCTGATCGGGAGCTGGAAAGATGGCTCAGCGGTTAAGAGCACTTCCAAAGGACCTGAGTTCAATTCCTGGCAACCACATGGTAGCTCACAAACATCTAAGATGAGATCTGGTGCCCTCTTCTGGTGAGCAGGTGTACATGCAGGCAGAGTACTGCATACAAAACAAACAAACAAACAAGCAAACAAATAAATAAACGTGAACTAAAGATTAAAAAAAAATCTGGTTGGACTGAATTAGAATACAGCAGACTTCTTAATACAGATGTAAAGGCCCAAGAGTACCTTTGGGATCATAGGCCATATCACTGTAGACATTATAAAGAGCCCTTTATTTAGGTGCCATGATATTATCAGTGGCACAAGCCACAATTTAGTAGGATCCCCTCCCACTTACAGAAACAGTGTGCATTCAAAGACATTTAGCTCAGACATAAATGTGATGCCGAAACAGACTGGGAAGGGGGCTTGGCTGGATAAGGAGCCTGGGAATGACAGAGATGACAAGATGGTTAGATGTTAAGAGCTGTGCTGTGACCACAGGAATGTAGAAAGGTTTTGTTTTGCTGTTTGTTTTGAAATAGGGTCTCATGTATCCCAGGCCTGCCTTGAACTCACTGTGGCCTTGAAGATGACCTTGAACTTCTGATCCATTTTCTCTACCTCACAAGTGCTAAGATTACAAGTAGGTGCCACCTTGCCCAATTTATGTGGGATTGGGTAGCAAATTCAGGGTTTCCTGCAACACTAGCATGCTAACAACTAAGCTATGGCCCTAAACCCTGGAAGTTTTGTTGTTGTTTATTTGTTCTGTTTTCTCTGTATAGCTCCTGAAATTTACTCTGTAGACCAGACTGGTCGCAAACTCAGACTGCTGGGATTAGAGGCATGAGCCACCATTTCCCAGCTTTTGTTTTGTTTTATCTTGTTTTGTTTTGAGGCAGGGTCTCACTATGTAGCCCTGACTGTCCTAGAACTCTCTATGTAGACCAGGCTGGCCTCAAACACACAAAGATCCACCTGCCTGTGCCTCCACATCCTAAGTGCTGGGCTTAAAAACAATGCAGGGCCACAGCTGGGAGTATCTTTTCCTGCCTTTTTTTGGTCCGTTTTTTCATCCTTTAATCTGCCCTCCTTGAGCCGGTCATGTTCTCCCGTACTAGTTTTTTCATGTGGTAGACACTCCTTGGTGTTCACTTAGAAGGTTCTAGACCCTAAATCTTTGCCAGACTCCACCCCTCCTGGAATCCCAGCTGATGGCTAGAATGTGTTAGTCCTCAGACAGTCCGAAGGGACCTGCCTCCCCTACCTTCAGAGGAAACTGCTGGGTGAGCTCTGGCACATAGGCAGCCCCTGCCTGCTTCCTGTGCAGAGACACCACCACGAAGTACTCGAAGAGCTGCCTCTCCTGGTACTCAATGAGATCCCGGTCAAGCGATGAGTACCGAGGAGCCTGCTTCAGGCGCGACTTCACATTGACCAGGCGCCGGCTGTGAGCTGCAGAGACAAAGGAGCCACAGGCCTGCCATGACTCATATGCCAATGGAGACTTGCTCAGTGCTCAACAGATTATGTAATTCCCAGCTTCAGTACGTTTTCTAATTCCCCGAGTTTTTCCACATTTTGCAGATCAGTAGAGAACTCTTTCTTTGGGCCTCTTGCCAAACTCATGGGAGGGGCGTCATTTACTTACAGGTCTGGCAGCCAATCAGGGCACAAGACCAGGACTCAGGACTGGCCAGGGCTTTGCTGCTAACCTTGAGGCGGAGCTCCACAAGGTTTCACCTCCAGCTATCTTTGGGGTGGGGACCTGTACCTTTCCCCTTACTCACTTCCATAGCAGGGAGCTTTTAGAGCTGAGAGCTTTGTAAACATCCCAAGTGACACAACAACAGAGACCCAGCTAGCTACCTGGGGAACTCCCTCCCAGCGAATGGATTCGCTTATTCTGGAGGTGGCCGAGGTAGTAGGCGGTGTCAGAGGTCAAAGAAGTGGACTGGGCTTGTCATCTCTGTCAGCACCCAGGGTTGCCCTCTCTGTTCTCTCATGGGGTCTGAGAAATGTCAGAAAAATTCACTAAATCTTGGACCTGGATTACTGAACATCAGGCCTACAGGGAACAATTCTTTTACCAACTTCATCTGGCAATCAAGGAACCAGCAGCTCTGCCTGCAGTTCCCACAGCGACTATCGAGTGTGGTGCCTGGCATTGTCAGAGGACGAGGAGCAGGTGGCTGCAGTACCGTCACACCCCATCTCTGCCTGGTCTGGCCTCTGCTCACACCTGACACTCACGCCTTGCCTGGCAGGACTGAGCACGCTGTGTTTGTCCCTCAGCAGTGGGAAGGAATCTACAGTTTCCCGTCAACTCACGCCCCCTGCTCGCCTCACCTTTCAGCTTCTCCTCGGTGTCGCTGTCAGACTCACTGTTCTCATCTGTCACTGGACCAAAAGAACAGGAAGGAAGAGGCAGATGTGAGTTCCATTGTAGGAAACAGACCCCAAACTTCTAGGTGAGAGGAGGTGGTTTGTCAACTATATAACTATGTCAGTCAAATTCAGCTCAACTACCAAACCATTTTGACTCTGGCTAGGATGGTCCTTTACCAGACTATATATAGCAAGAGGCAGGAACCCTCTGTTGCAGCCGAGCCAGGAAGGTTGTTGCCAGAGTCAGGTGACAGGCAGCCCTCAGCTGACATAATGGTAGACAAGGCAGAGGAACACAGAGCACGTGCCACTGAGCTGGCTCCTGGCCCTCTGTCCCAGAGAGAAGGGCAGACAGGAAGCAGCCACTTGCTTCCTCCGAGGTGAGCCAACGAGAAACAGAAGACACATCTTCAAATTCTAGTGAGGAGGATAGCCCAGCAGGGCGGGCCAGAGAGGCGTCTACCTTTTCCTGAGTTGCTCTCCGTGGACTGGGATAGCCTCTTCACCCGTTTCTTTCCTCTCCGGGCCTCATAAATGGCATTGATCCTCAATACCAGCTGCCAGACACCAGAAGAAAAGCGGTGTTAACCACCCTCCCTGTGGGGATGGCTGTCCAGGTTGACAAAGTTCAGGGAAACGGGGAGGGACACACTTGCTGCTGCCTCACCCGTCTTCCCGTCATTCTTGAGCAGCCAGGTTCTAAACACTCCTGTACCCAGCTGAGACGCTGGGGAGGGGGGGGGTGTCCTTGGCTCACAGTGCCACTCAGCCCCGATGATACTCCAACACTGTGTTGTCACTGTGGCTTAGGAAAGAGCTATTTACTCCCAAAACAAAACAAGAGAAGGAAAAGACAGAGAACGTAATTCCCAGGCATGGCCACTCTGGTGGGAGCCATTCCAAAAGCGCCTGGCCGGCCCCCAGCAGATGGGAGTAACAGCAGCTTCGGGGCTCTACTCCTGTCTGTGCAAAGGGAGGCTCTCGGAGGAACCTTGCTCCCAACCTCACTGGTCCCCGACTTACACAGTGGCACACGTGAGGCGTGGAAGTGGGCCGGAATGCTCTGAAATGTGACATGTCCCAGGGCTTAAGCCCACCCATCATGGAGCCCCTGCTTCAGGCCACAGCATCTTCCGTGCCTCGTGGGCTGTCACTGCTTATGACAGCCGCTTGTGTGAGAACACATCTGCTACAAATGCAGAGGCCTCTCTTGCTGCTGGCCAAGCAAGATTTGGTGTTTCTTGTGTGTCTCCTTCCTCTGAGCTACTGAGTGGCTTCCAACATTGTGGCGATCACTGGGGCTTGCCAAAGATGTCACATGTGCCTCGGAGACCCATACCAAAATTAGTTCATCTTTTTCGGGGGGTGCCGAGGGATACACCCAGAGTATTGAGTGCTGCACACACTAGGTGGTACTCTACCACCTGAGCTTGGCACTGCTTTATTTGGGGGGCAACACAGAACTCACTGTAGCTACACAGTAGCTGTCCTTGAATTCACTGTGATTCTCCTGCCTCAGCCTCCTCCTGAGTGTTTGGACGACAGACACCAGCAGCTATACCTACCTAAATACTCAATCTTTATTTTTGCTATACTTTAGTCTTCTGGCCCCCTCTTCATCTGGGTACTAGTGGGCCATTTCTTTGGCCTCTCTGGACCTGATATCCAGAGAGTTGTTTCAAAAGTCTCTTGCCTTTAGCTTTCTAGGTGATGAGGATTTTAGCTGTGCTCAGATGTCCTTCACCTCCAGTTGCGTTCCTCTGAGCACTCACTCAACAGGCGCCATTACTGAACTGCACCTTCAGCAGGGCCCCTGTGGCCACGCCCAACTGTTTGTTTTTGTTTTTTTTTTCCACAAGGGTAGCCTCCAAGTTAACCTGGGGTTAACTCATGCACAGCTGCGGCAAATCAAATAGCACAGAAGTGTGGAGTTGGGCTAGAGAGGTGCTCAGCAGTCAAGAGCACTGGCTACTCCTGCAGAGAACCCATGTTCAATTCTCAGCACCCACTTGGCGGCTCACAACCGGCTGTACCTTCAGTTGTAGAGGCTCTAATGCTCTCTTCTGGCCTCTGGAGACATGAACGAGACACACATTACATATAGGCAAAGCACCCACACACAAAATAACAAATAATTGAATGTTTAAACGAGGGTGAATTTTTTTATGTTTTTGGAAGAATAAGAGCCGCATAGGTCCTGGTGTGTGTGTGTGTGTGTGTGTGTGTGTGTGTGTGTGTGTGTGGTGTGTATGAAAGAGAGAGTGTGTCTGTGGGAGTATGTATGTGCATGTGTGAAAGTGTATGTGTGTATCTCAAAGTGCGTGTGTGAGAGAGACTGTTAAGTCTCTATCTATTCTTCCTATCTTGGACCAACTCTCTTGAATGGATCACTAGCTCTCGTTCATAAGCCAGCCAGCCAGGCACTGAGTAACTTAGCATAAAAGAAGAAAGTTGTAGAGTGCTTCCCTAGCAAGTGTGAAACTCCTCTCTCTCTCTCTTTCTCTGTCACACACACTTACAGGAAAAGCCTGGAATCATAATGTCAGGTAAGGAGCAGGTGGGGAGAGGAGCAGCTAAAGCGGAGGCCACAGGACTAGAACAACAGCTGAGAAGACAACCCTCATATCCTAGTCTGCTGGCTTCACTGAGTCCACCTGTCCCACGGTGACAAAGGAAGCAGAGGACCTCATACCTCCCCTCCTCAACTCCTCTACAGAGAAGTGGGGGTGCATCCTGGACCTCAAAATCCGAAGACTATATTACCCTGGGGATCTTTTTCTTCTTTCTGCCATTCTGCAGGTCTCCAAGGTTGAAGAAAGTGTCATCCGGGCTGCTAGGTGTAGAGGGAGGGCTGGTTCTCAGCGGGGACCCAGCTCCATCCCGACTCAGCTTCCTAGCGTCCAGCAGTTTGAAGTTTCTTCTCTCTGAATTTTGCCGGAAAAATGCAGATTTGGACAAGGACTGCTGCATGAGAAAGGAGACAGGCGTAAGTCCAAACGAAGAGGCCGGGGCCGAGGTGGGAGACCTCGGTGCAGAGACACAGAACTGAGTGGGCTGGGCTGGGTCCCCAGGGTACATGGGGTTTGCTACTGCTAAGCATGCTGTGCTACCATCAGGTTGTGGAAAATTTATGGGACGAAGGATATAAATCTAGTCCAACCTCTTTTCAAATATGGGGAAAGACACCTGCGTCCACTCTTTGGCTGTACAGTTGAGGCTTGACAAAAAGACGCATGTCCTGGCAACTGCAGCACTAAACTGGCTGTGGCCCTGGGGTCTGCCTTGCCAGAGTCTGCTCTGCACAAAGTGTCACCCCTCTGGACAACAGTGCCTTTTTTTTTTTAAGTATTGGGGTTTGAGTCAAGGGCCTTATACAGACAGACACACTAGTATTGAGCTGGAGCCCCAAGCCAGGATTTTATTTCCGAAACAAAGTTTCTTTCAAATCAAAAAGCAAACCACAAACTTCTTCAGACGTTTACAGCTCAGCAGTGGAGGTGGCTCAGAAGATTTGCCTGACACCTGCAGGGTGCCAGGTGTGATCTCCAGTACCTCCAAAATAAAAACGAACTTTACTCCTTGGCATGGTGGTGCACAGCTGTAGTTCTAGCACTTAGGAGCACCAGATGTGCAAGCTTTTCCCCAGCTGCACAGCCAGCCTGAGGCTAGTCTGGGATGCATGAGATGCTCTGCCTCAAAAAGAAAAAATAGGAAGGAAGGAGGGAGGGAGGGAGGAAAAAAAGAAGGAACAAAGGAAGGAAAGAAGGAAGAAAAAGAAAGAAATTTACAGTTCATAACACAGAGGATGATTGATTTTTCCTGATAAATACTACAAGTTGACCAACACAAGCCCCACTCACACAGACAAAAAAACAAAACAAAACAAAACAAAACAAAAAACAGATAAAAGATAAGAACTTTCACAACTTGGGAGTGTAATGACTCCCAGATCCATGAAGGAACCTTAACTTTCTCCAGAAAGAAAAGAGAATGCAAACTGTACCAAGGAAACATTTCTCATTGAAAAACAAGTAAAACTATTTCCTAGTAGGTAGGTGACAGTGTGAGGAAAAGTAACCTCTATACACCAGTGCTGGGCGTCGAAACCAGCAAAGTACACGGAGGGCACGCTAGGCATGCCTGCAAAATGACAACGAGCATGCCTTCTGACCCAGCAGCTCACCCTAGGAATTCCCTTTACTTATACACTTGAGCAACATTATACTACAAAAGGAAAGTTAGACTCTGCAGAGAATATCATATGTAATGACGTGGCACGTAATCACTAAACACCTAAACGTCTATTGGCAGAGGTTGAGCAAATTATGATATATCCAGACAATAGAAGAGCATGCAACTGTAAGAACAAACGTTAATGTTGGATATAAAGGTTCTTTCAGGTACATACTATTATTTTTTCAAATTATTTTCTTTTTATGTGTATAGGTAATTTTCCTGCAGGTACGTTTGTATACCATGCACATGCCTAGTGCCAGCAGAGGCCAGAAGAAGGTGTTGGATCCCCTGGGCCTAGAGTTACAAATGTTTGTGAGCCACCATGTGGGTGCTGGGAACTGAACCCAGGTTACTGGAAAGGCAGCCAGTGCTTTTAACCGCTCAGCCATCTCTCCAGCCCCTGTATTATTTTTAACGATTATTTCTTTATTGTATGTAGGTAAACACATGCCACTTGTACATGTGGAAGCCAGGACAGCTTTTCAGGAGTCAGTTCTCTCTTGTTCCTGCTGCTTTGCTGTGTACGGGGAATTCCTGATGATCCTCCAGTCTCTGTCTCTCACCTACCTGTAATAGGGCTGGAATTACAGATGCTCACTGCCACATCCCACATCCCACAGTTTTCTACTGTGTGTGTGAGTGCATGACGTGTGTGTGGACACGTGTGTCACTGTACGTGCGTGTCAGGTTTGCGCAGCAGGCGCTTTTAACCACTGAGACATCTTGCTGGCCCACTAGCTCTATGTTGCTCTGCATAAAAAGCAAGGCATGACATGCTGATTTCTGTGTTTTACGATTTGGAGTATCTGGAAGAGTTCGTGGTACTCAGTAGGCATTTCCTCTTCCTGGCCGCCTTCCTTTCAACACTGACTACAGGCGTGCACCAGCAGGCCCGGCTTCTGTATAGATTTTCCTTACTTATTTATTTATTTATTTATTCACTTACTTATTTATTTATTTATTTATTTGCTTACTTTATTTATTTATTTATGTTTTTTTTTTTTTAGTAATTTTGTAATTTTTTTTAAAAGATTTATTTATTTATTTTATGTATGAGTGCGCTTATCTGCACATACACCTGCATGACAGAAGAGGGCACCAGATCACACTATAGATGGTTGTGAGATACCATGTGGTTGATGGGAATTGAACTCAGGACCTCTGGAGGAGCAGACAGTGGTCTTAGCCACTGAGCCGTCTCTTCATCCCCCTATATAGATTTTTCTATATGACAATCTATTCATGGTTTTCTCTGTCATCCATCTAACCTCTTGGTTTGTTTGTTTGTTTTTAAAGATGTTACGTAGTTGTTTATTTTATATGTATGGGTGTTGCCTGCATGCATGTATATGTACCACATGTGTGTCAAGTGCCCAAGAAGGCCAGAAGAGGGCACTGGATCCCCTGTGACTAGCTAGAGTTAGAGGTGGTTGTGAGCATCCATGTGGATTTTGGGAATCAAACATGGGAAGAGCAGCCAGTACTCTCTCTCTCTTTTAATTCATTTTTATTTCATGTGCAATAGTGTTTTGCCTGCATGTATGTCTGTGGGTGTCATATCTTGGAGTTCCAGACAGTTGTGAGCTGCCACGTGGGTGCTAAGAACCAAATCCGGGTCCTCTGGAAGAGCAGTCAGTGTTCCCAACTTCGGAGCGATCTCTCCAGCTCCAGCCAATACTCTTAACCCATTGAACCATCTCTCCAGGCCCTTCATTTGTTTGTTCTCAAGACAGGGTTTCTCTGTGTAGCCTTGACTGGCTTTGTAGACTGGGCTGGCCTCAAACTCAGAGATTTGCCTGCCTCTGCCTCCCTGAGTGCTGGAATTCATTCTTGTTTTTAAAAGATTTATTATTTTAAAAGTTTTCTTATTTTTGCTCCTGCCCCTCCCAATGTTTGATTTACTGTATTTTTATATTATGTGTGTGCATGTGTGTCTGTGTATGGGTTTGTATATGCACGTGTATATTGCAGAGGACAGAGACATCATATTCCTTTGGAGCTGGAATCCCAGGCCATTGGGAGCAGCCTGAAATGGTGCTGGGACCCAAACTCGAGTGCTCTGTAAGAGCAGCAAGTATGCTTATCCATAGAGCCATCTCTCTAGCCCTCTAACTTCCTCGAACTGGCTCATCAGGTGGGGGATGCTTGCTGTCAAGCCTGGGGACCTGAGGTAGATCCATGGGTCCCACATGGAAGAAGCAGAGGACCAACTCACACAGGCTGTTCTGACCTTCTCATGCTTGCCGTGGTACATGCAAACACACAATATACAAATGAATTCATGAGAAAGAAGAAAATTAGAGAAAAGAAAATCTATCTCGTTAGATGTTTAATACTAAATACTGAATTCCATTTCTGTGTGGATTTTCTTGGTTTGCTTTTGAACATACTTTATTCATTAATCCATCAGTAATTTATTTTATGGTATGCTAATCTAAATCATTTCCCTTCAAGCTAACTTATCCCTATTCCATTTAATGAATGAGTCTTTCTTTCTCAATCAATTTACAAAGCTCCATATCTACCATATCTTAACTGCTCACAGAACAAGCCTACTTTGTTCCTGAATTCCCCAGTCTCACTTAGTTCCAAGTAGGATGTATTTACAACCTCAGAGCTTTTTCTTTTTCAAAATTTCCAGGAACAAAGAGCCCTATCTTCCCCATGGCTGGTATTCCCATTCATCATGGGTCCACAAAGAACAAGGAATTGCTCAGCACAGGGAGCTTCCAACAGGGAGCACTGACCTGCTGCGGCCAGTGTGGGCATCTTTATCACCTTGGCACAGAAAGCGGCTTTCTTAGCAACCTAATTCCACCTGCAATGAAATCCAAGGAAATGCCCCAATGCTTTCATGACACTGCAATCTATAGAAACGGCTGGCAACCAGCAGGTTTCTGTTCACCTGTACACGGGGCCAGTGTTTGCTTAGAGGAGATTTGACCTGTGAAGAGATCTAAGAAGAAAACAACCAAACTATGGTACCCAACTCTGGAGAGCATGCCGAGGGGCCTGGCAGAAGCTCTGTGCAAGCTCTGTCTCCTGCCGGCACTGCTGGGGAGAAGCGGGATTTTGGTAGCTTCCTGTTTGACGAAAGGGAGACAGCAGGACATGGGGGTGAGCCTCTCAAGCATTTAACTCAGTCTGAGGCGCAGTAGGAAGAAGCAAGTTCTGTCTGACAGGAGTCTTGATTTGGGGCTCTGAGGGTCCTGAGGCTACTGGGAGAAGTGGTACCATAGTGACGCTGTCTGTTTGCGGAAGCTTTTGAAAGTGAAGTGTGAGTCTTACAGTTAGTAGGAGCCAGCAAAGTTTTTCTTCAAAGCCAGATGGTAGCTACCACAGCGTGGCCATGCCCTCTCTGCTGCAGCTTCTTAGCCATGCCAAGTCCATCTGTAATGTGCGAAGGACTAAGTGGGGAGATATGACTTCATTCATAAAAACCTCATACAACTTCATTCATAAAAATCAGCAAGCACCGGGCAGGAGTTTGCTAAGCCCTGACTCTAGCATGAAAGGGAAGCACTGCAGGGCCTTAGAGGTGGGGTTTTTCAGGCTGTCATCCAGCAGATTGTACTGTTGATGGGAGTGTCTCACACCGACACACCTGGTGCCCAATCCCACCTCGCTTCCTTCCAGCAGCCGGACCACCATGGCACAACATCTCTAATCTCGAGGGCCCTGGACTCCCTGGGCACCACAGAAGACCTGTAGTGTCCAAGCAAGTAAATGACCTGGGCCTGAGTTCTGACTTCCCTGGTCAAGTCTCTTGAGTTGTTTGTTGCAGGAGGCTGTGATGGGTGCTGGCATGTGACACCCAGACGGGGAGGAAGTGGCAAGAAGCTCTGAGCCTCCTCAGAGGAAGATGACACACACCGAAGCTGAGACTGCTAGCCCTTGCAGGCTAACTGGGTGACACCATATTTAAAAAAAGAGGAAAAGGACTGTTGCAAAGGACGGTCATAATCAGCACATCTTTCTCGGACATAAAAATCAGTCCTTGACAGTTGTAGTATCACGACCCTCAGGAAGCTGGTGCAGGAGAATTAGTCTGAGATCAGCCGGGGCTACAGAGTGAGAACCCCATCTCACACCAGACACACAGAGGCTGGAGAGATGGCTCCCTGAATAAAGTGCTTGCTGTGCAGGTGTGAGGACTGGAGTTCGGATCCCCAGCACTGACACAAACAGCAGGGCTGATGCACTAGCAGCCGGCAAGCCCAGCACTCAGGAGGAGGCTGTGGCGGGATTTCGTGGGCAAGCTGCCTAGCCAGAATAGCAAAGCTGGAGACTGAGTAAGACTCTGGCTCACTAAACAAAGTGGAGAGTGACTGAAGGTACCCAGCATCAACCTAGACCCCCACAGGCACAGGCCCACGTTCAGGGCGCATATACAGTCCACCCACGGACATGAGAACACACAAGCACACTCCACCCCTACCCCCACAATTTCTTTTTAAGTTGCTGCCACATTCCTTGTGGGGCAGAATGTAGTAGGTTATATAATACTATTTTGGGTTCACAGACCGCAGCATCTGCTCCTGCTGCACATCTGCTCTGTTCTTCGGAGACTCCGTCCAACTGTCCCTCCCTTTCCATTGGGACCAGACAGGACTTAATTAAACGAACATCCCAAAGATGGTGTCGTAGAGCGTTCCGAGGCTGAAAGGGGAGCTCAACACAGAGGGACTGCCTCAACTACTTCTAAGGTCTCACATGGAGCCCAGACGAGGCAGACGCTTAATGAATAGCTCATAAGCTAAGCAGAGGAAGTGGCAATGTCTGCAGCTGTTCCTCAGAGCGGGGGCACAGACCAGACACCCAGATGTGAGAGCAGAGGAACGAGCATGAGACACAGGGCTCCGGTGATGACCTGCACAGGCCCTGGCAGCCTGCAATGTCAGGGGCACCAACAGCACGCTGCCATCCTGGGCAACCACTTCTGGACACGAACCCTGATAGGACCACTCCCATTCCAGTCTGGCTGCTGTGCTGGCACAGGCTCCAGGTGTGCCCAGCCTAGCAGGGACAGGAAGGGCTACTCTGCCTTCATCTTCTGGTAGGAGGGAGGAGCTGCCTGCTTGGAACACAGCTGTGCAGGCCAGACAGTCTTCATGGATTCTAAGAGCAGGGGTGCCCTGCATGAACTGGAGAGCCTGGTAGGATGTGGGGGGCAGAATGGACATGACAGTGTCTATGCTATGTGTGGGGAGGAAGTTCACAAGCACATGTATACACAAGTGTGGAGGCCGAAGCCAACCTCTGCTGGGGTTCCTTAGGATTTAGTTCAGCTGGCCAATAAGCCTCTCTGCTCCTCCAGCACCGGGATTTTTTTTTTTCCTTTTCTCTCTCTCTCTCTCTCTCTCTCTCTCTCTCTCTTTTGGGTTTTTTGAGACAGGGTTTCTCTGTATAGCCTTGGCTGTCCTAAACTTGCTTTGTAGACCGGCCTGGGACTCACAATGATCTGCCTGCCTCTGCCTCTGCCTCCCAAGTGCTGGGATTAAAGGCACGCGCTACCGCACTGACCAGCATTGGGATTTTAAGTACATCTCTCTATACCCAGCATTTTGTACATGGATTCTGGGGGTTGAACTCAGTCCTCATGCTTGCATGGCAAGCCTTTTACAGACTGAGCATCTCCCCAGTCCCTACCCTATCCTTCCTCCCTCCCTCCCTCCATCCCTTCCTTCCTTCCTTTTTTATTTGGAGATAGGGTCACCTGTATTGCACTCATGTATTGCACTTGAACTCATGACATTGAACTTCACGTTGAAGCTGGCCTTGAACTTTTGGTCTTTGTGCCTCAGCCTCCCAAATGCTGAGATTCTAGGTGTGGACCATTATACCCAGTTTTTTCCCAGTACCAGGGACTGAACCAAAGTCTTATATGCACTCTGACACTGATATCTATATCATCTATAGATACATATATCTCCTTAGCCCTTATGCTGTTATTCTAAGTCAGTCTAGCAATTCTAAATGTTAAGACACATCCATCTACCAAGGAGAACACAAACACATTTCCAAGGCAAGTAGAAACTGCTAATTATTGGTTACCATGGGTTCCTCAGGACAACAGTCTTCTCCATGTGAAAGCTAGTTGGTTTAGGCAAGTACTGAGGCAGATGACATGGGCCTCACCCTTCAGGACAGGTTATGTCCTTGACCCTTCTAGAAGTCTGTGGTGGGAAGTGTTCCTGTCTGACATCAGGTTTTCAGAGCATGCCCTGTGAAGCTCCTCCAGCAAATGCTGGCCCTGCCCTGGGGGACTACAGGCATACAGCTACAATTCTCATGCTGGAGCCAAATCTTGACAATGCAATTTGAGTGACATGAGCAGTTTAAATTTGGTCTTCCTTTATTTACTTTCTTCAACAACAAATCCCCTAAAAGGTTCAAGAGGATCTTCGGTAAATGGAAGTCAGTCTTGGAGTCTTGACCTCTGGGTACTCAGGTATCAGAAGACCACCACTGAGGTAGCTACTTCCCTCACAGAAATATTCTGTACGTATACAAACAAATGTGAGCTTACAAGTACACATACTCTTTAGGTTAAAAAAAATACGGGGTCTAGAGAGACTGCTCAGTGATTACGAGCTCTGAAAGAGGACCTGGCTTCAGTTCTGAGTACCCACAGGGTGGCTCACGACAACCTATTTACTCCAGTTCCAGGGAATCTGACGCCCCTTACAGCATCTAAGGCTCCTGTACACCCGTGATGCACATAAACTCACATATACATACTAAGAAAATTAGTACTTTTTTTTTTTTTAAAGACAGGGTCTCACAAGGTAGCTCTGGATGCCTGAAATTCACTATATAAACCAGACTGAACCTCAAACCCACGAAGGTCTGCCTGCCTCTGCCTCCAGAGAGCTGGGAAAGGCGTGCACCACCATATAAATAAAGGTTTATTCATTCACTTATTTATATGGCAAATAAAGAAACCTTTCTAAAAGATGTGCACAGATGGCAGCACACTGTGCAACCCAGCCCTACACTCTGCCTTTCTTTCTCATATCTCATCAGAGTGCCCCCTTCTATTTACTTGTTTATTTAGAGTCAGGATTTTGCTTTCTTAGTCAGGCTACTCTGAGACTTACTATGTTGACCAGGCTGGCCCTGAACTTAGAGCAGCGATTCTCCTGCCTCTGGCTTCCAAGTGTTAGGACCGCAGGTGCAGCCCACCACCCCCAGGGCTCAGGACACTCATCAGAAGATGTGCAGTTTAAATGCACGGCTTTTCGTGACTGAGTTAGGTGTGTGTGTGTGTGTGTGTGTGTGTGAGCTACACACCCAAAGGCATTTTAGGGAGCTCTGTGGAGAGGGCTGGCCTCAGTGGTGCAGCCAGGCAGTGTAGACAGAGGCACAGGAGGAGCTCCAGAGAGCTAGTACCTTGGTGGAGGTGTCCGGGATGGAAGAGGTGGGAGATCCAGGGAAAGCCAAGACACACTTCTTGCCTAGGCAGCGGCCGTGCAACTCGACGTCCTCGTAAGGATTCTCCTTCATTGGTGGGTCTGCAACCAACAGCAAAATGGGTCAGGAACGTTGAATGTTAGAACTCCCTCCCCCTCTCTCGGCTTCTCTTTGTGCCCTGGCTGTCCTGGAACTCTCTCCGTAGACCAGGCTGGCCTCGAGCTCTGCCGCCCGAGTGCTGGGGTTAATATTAAAGGCGTGTGCAGCCACCTCACAGCCCTCTTTTCTTTCTTTTTAAGATTTATTATATTTTATGTGAATGGTGTTTTACTTGAACATGTTGTCTGTGTACCATGTGCGTGGCTGATGCCTGAGAGCACCAGAAGAGGGTGTCAAGTCTCTTGGCATCAGAATTATAGATGATTATGAGCCTCTGTGTGGGCCCTGGGAACTGAACCCGGGTTCTCTGCAACAGCAGCCAGGGCTTTAAAGTGCTGTGCCTGCTCTCAAGCCCTGGACCGTTTCCTTCCTCCCTTCCTCCCTTCCTCCCTCCCTCCCTCCCTCCCTCCCTCCCTCCCTCCCTTCCTTCCTTCCTTAATTCCTCTTTCTTCCCTTCTTTCTTTCCTTCCTTCCTTAATTCCTCTTTCTTCCCTTCTTTCCTTCTTTCCTTCCTTCCTTCCTTCCTTCCTTCCTTCCTTCCTTCCTTCCTTTCTTTTCTTTTCCTCCCTCCCTCTCTCCCTCCCTCCCAACTCCCTCCTTCCCTCCCAGGCCCAAGGCCATCACTGAATGGCACTACTGGCTCTAAAAGTGAACATGAAACAGAAGGTGGTCTGGCTGGAGCGACTTTTGCTGGTTACTTGTAGGCCCCAGGCTGGTTCTACAAAGGAAAGCTAGGAGTCCCAGGGAACTGGTAGCAGCCTTCCTGGGGGCTGTGAGAAGGCCTGCTGAGAAACAGCAAGAAGCAGCCAGTTTGGGCTTCCAGTCACAGGTTAGACTTCCCCCAAACTACCTCGGTTGTGTTCTTACATGGTAGGAACCCAGCCTGACACTGAGATCCAAACAGCTCTGTTAAGCTCTCCCACAGTCCTGGGCTTCGTTTCTGGTACCAATGGCCCCATGACTGTTTGTGTGCACCTACCCTCTTCACCCCTCACGTACAAATACCCATGGGCTCCTCCCTCTCACCAACCAGCTCTTTTCTGGCTTTTGTTTTTTAAGGTTAATAAAGTTTTTCTTAGTGATTCTAAGCATATGTATTTATTTATTTAAAGATTTATTTATTTTACATATATGAGTGCTCTATCTGCATGTGCACCTGCACGACAGAAGGCATCAGTAAAGATGGTTGTGAGCCACTGTGTCGTTGTTGGGAATTGAACTCGGGACCTCTGGAAAAGCAGACAGTGCTCTTAACCTCTGAGCTGTTTCTCCAGCCCCCAAGCATATGTATTTACAATAGTTAAAGTGTGATGAGTGATTTTTTTTTGAAATAAATAAGTTTTAATATTCTACAGCACAGAAAGGTGATTATATATAAAAACTTACTTAATATTTTATAAAGAATAAGAAGAGAGGCACTAAAGGGTTCCAAGACAAAGAAATAGCAAATGTTCCCAGAAATGCTAATTTAGTCAATCAAATATTGCACATAATATAGATATACATACTGAAAAAAATAGCTGTGCACTGTGGATATATACAATTGTCACATGTCAATAGACATGTATTTCTTCTAATACCGAAAAGACAAAATAACCCAAAGTAATAAAATCCCACAAAAAAAACAGCTATTGACACTACTTGAATATTTTCTTTTTTTTTAAATTTTTTATTGATTACACTTTATTCATTTTGTATCCCCCCATAAGTCCCTCCCTCCTCCCCTCCCGATCCCACCCGTGATGAGTGATTTTAACATATGAAACGTTTTATACCATCTGTAGATGAGATTATATACCATATAAGCTATTCAAGTGATACAAAACCATTTTTTTTTTTCAGGATCTTTTCAAATGAGAAGAGTCCTATTTGCACACTTCATACCAAGCTTTGCTGTCATTTTTATTGCTTTCTTCTACAGAAGCCTGTTATTGCTCTTTCATTTCCGCCAACTCTAGGCAAAGTAGCGGAACTTCTGGGTTTTCTGGGATAGCAGCTCCTAAGTGCTGTTTTAAGACCCAGCGTATTGGTGTCTCCTTCGGTTCTTCATGAGACCACAGCACATTCATCAGGGTGTCTAGCACCCCGACTTCTCCAAGCACCTCTAGAACTGCTGGAGTCAGTGGCTTTGTAACGGGACTTAGTGACAGACAAAGTGGCAGAGCTGGTCCTGGAGATAAGGGTCTGTGGTCTTTGAGCCACACTGCGCATGCACCAGCTCATTTCTTCTGCCACCGCCAGACTCGGGTCTGAGCTCACACCTTCAGTGCAGGAATGGAATCACTTCTTGAAGATTATTGAACTCCGAAACAAACTTTGGCTCTAAGCCCTCTTTGGAAGCAGAGGAGTCTTCAGAGCTACATCAAGGTTACTCTTCTAGCTGTTCACTGCCTGCTGTCCGCTCTCCTTCAGCCCACTGAGGCCCACTCTTCCAGCCTGCCTACCTGCTGTTTTCTCATACGCTGACTGCACATCTGTATTCAAGTGCTTGCCTGTGTGCTTCAAGCAGAAACTCCATTTTGACCTCCTCTCTGCCTCCGACAGACCCCCGCAGCCCTCCTGAGACGGTCTGGCCTCTTACCTAGGATGTCTTCGTAGACGTTCTCCTCCGATAAAGTGCGTGTGAGTCCCAGTTTGGTCTGTGCGTACCAGTCCACCCTGCTGTTCTCAGACGAAGACTGTAGCAAGTCTTCAAATTCATAGGACTTTCTATGAGCCGTGGAAGGAAACAAAAGAAGAACTTGAATCAATTTAGGCTCGTTCTGAACATAGCAGAGGTCAGAGTGCAAAGGAGCCAAGCCCAAGCTTTAGGACCAGGGCTGAAAAGCTGTAAGCCAGGCCAAATGCCTGACCTGTAGCAAAAACCCAGCAGAGGCAGGAGAGGCTGATGGAGTGATTGCCCCCCCCACCCCCCCCGGGGACGGCAGTGTGCGGTCTGCATTGATTCTGTCCTCTTCCAGCCCAGGCTGTTACCTGCCCACCCCAGTACTGTGAGGGCAGATGATGGGGTGAAGGTGTAGCCTGCAGCATAGAGCCCTAGCAACTAAAGACGTTTGTATACTTCAGGGCACAAGCTCTCTTTCTTACAGTGCATGCAGCACAACACCTAATTTGGACGACCTTGGGGTTTGTTGGGATGGGAGTAACCATTATCCAAACAGCTACTGCTGGATACCCCGAGCTTTCAAGAGACACCTTAACTCTGTTGTGATTTTTCCATGTTTGTGAGAGCAAGATGCTCACATGAGGCATGCTTTGCATTTGAACCCTGACACACGGTAGCGTAAACAGCATTTGGAAGGATTGCATGTTAAAAATATAAACGTCCCTCTAAAAACTGATGGGCAGGGGTGGCAGTGCATGTCTGCGATGCCTGCACTCGGGAGGCTGAAGGAGGAGGCAAATATCAAGTTCCAGGTCAGTCTGGTCTAAAATGAGATTCTGTCTTAGAAACCAAAGGTAGGCATTGTGCAACACGCCTTTAATTCTGGCATCAGTCAGCAGAGGCAGGCAGACCTATGTGAGTTCTAGGCTAGTTCACATAGTGAGCTCCAGGCAAGCCAGAGCTACACAGTGAGGCCCTGTCTGAAAAGCCCAAAAGTACAATACAATACAATGATAATAAATAAAATAAAAACATTTAAAAAGCTGGGCATGGTGATGCCCATTTATAATCCCACCACTCTGAGGAAGAAGGACCGTCAATAATCTGAGGCCACTGAGGCTACAGTGAGTTTCACAACAGTCTGGGATACAGATCCTATCTCAAAACAAACAAATAAACATGAACAAAACCCACAACAAAATAACAACAAACAAAACCGAAAAAACAAAACAAGAGCCGGGCAGTGGTGGTGCTCGCCTTGATCCCAGCACCGTGGAGGCAGAGGCAGGTGGATCTCACCAAGTTCTACCTAAGTTCTCCTTAAGTTCTGGTCTACAGAGAGTCCAGGATGGCTAAGGCTACACAGAGAAACTCTATCTCAACAAAACAAACAGAAGAAAAAAATACAACCAAATAACCAAACAAAACCCACAAAAACCAGGGCCCAGAAGCAAAATCAGAAGCAAGCAGTTAGTCACACTGCAAACCCTTGTGCGTGCTGGGCAAGTACTTGCCCTGTTGCTTTACCCTAAGTCCCCAGCTTTTGTTTGTTTGTATTTTGAGACAGGGTTTCTCTGTGTAGTACTGGCTGTCCTGGAACTCACAGTGTAGCCCAGGCTAGCCTTTGAATTCTCAATCTTCTTGCCTCTGCTGCAAAACTTAACTTGTAAAATAAGTTGCCACAGGGTTTCCTAATGGCAATTCCACCTCTGTGTTAAAGTTCTGGTTTCAGGTGACCAATGTGTAAAGTCTAAAAAGCAACATTGTAAACCAACACAAAATACAGTCCATAGAGGAGCAAGGAGGAGCCACAGATTTCCCACCATCAGTGTCTAGAATCCAGGAAAAGCAGAATTCCAAGTACCACAAAGCAGTTTATCACTGTCACCTGTTGGCATCTAGCGTGCAAGTGGTAGCTTGGTACTTCTGTCCTCATGTTCTGAGGTTCAGGTAAGGTGAGAAAAACACACTTGCTAAATCCTGACCTGGCTTTGGGCTAAGACCGAGGTCAGGTTGACCTTCAGGCATGTACAGCACTTGCAGGAATTGTTGCTAGCCTGCATTGTTCTGTAACCTAAGGCTTTCTGCTCTCGAGCAAACAGAAATACTATGGCGACACAACTGCGCCCTATTTTTACTGAAAGTTCATACCCCTTCATGCTCGCTAAAGCCATCACAGCTACGTCAACAGGGTGTAACCAACCTGCAGTTTTTACCTTTAGAACCCTCTGCTGACTCACCTTGGGGCTGTCTCTTTAGACTTACAGTAGGGTCTATGTGGCTCAATGAAAACTTTAAGCTCATAAAGAGCTCATCCTGGTCTCCTCTTGCGTGAGAACCAGGGGCAACACAGGAGATCACTCGCCCTGAAGAGATATCTGATTACACGAATGACTGATCCAGCCAGCTACTTCTCTACAAACATGTTCCAACTCGAGAAAGGTTTTTAGCACCTTTACGTATTAACTTGGAGAAAAAGGGGCTTTCCAAAGGTGAATGCATGAATGACAAACACAACCAAACTCTAGCTAAACATACCCGGCATTCACTCCCTTCATCACCCACAGGCGTGCTAACTACCTTCTGTGGGTCAGACTGTGCTCAGAGCTAGTGAAACAAAGGTAAGGAGCCTAAAGGCTGCTCTCAGCTAGGGAGGATGTGGCCTCCTCTGAGTGCTCAGCCTTCGAGGCCCTCCCGTGGTCACATGATAGCTGGTTTTAGTGACATGAAACTGATCTCACTGTTGTAACCCGGGCTTGGTCCAATTCACTCTGTAGCTGACAGACGGCCTCTAACTTCTGCTTCTCTTGCTTCAGCTCCTAAATGCTGGGATTGCTAGCGTGCACATCGTGCCTGCCGCACATGGCGCCAGGGGTTTAATACTCAGGTCGCCATGGATGTCAGGCAACCAACTGAGACATCTCCAGCATGAGCCCCTCTCCGAGCTCCCCCGTGAATTTCTTCTCTCTCTCCTCTTTCTTTTTTCTACATTGAGGACAGCCTAAAGTACATCGTAAAACTGCCTCAGAAAACATTTAAAAATTCATGACCTATGTCTAAATACTGTTTGAGGGTTACTAATGGCTTTTCCACATTCTTGTAAATGAAATGCTAACTTAAGACAGTGGGCAAGAACCTCAGATTAACATGTCTCAAATGGAGCTCCTCTCTGGAAGGCCCCTCTGGAAGCTGCCAGCCAGATGTTCGTGCCTGAAAGCCGCAGAGCCTCTCCTCCCAGACCACCTACACCTGACCAAAACGAAGGGGCCTTCTGCTTCCCCAGCCTCCTAGGAGGTGACCACTTCTTCCGTCCCCACTGTAATTACATCACAGTGAGACCACAACGCCCACTCAGCCACCAAGGGGAACCCTAACAGATGCAAATCTGATGACTGCTCCCTTCAAAGCAGTCAAGCACTTCCCTGGTTTCTCTTGTCCCCATGGCTCCTCTAGAACTGGTTCTGTTAGACCTCAGGATCTCCTCTTCCATGCTTGGGGACTCCCACCCCACTGAGGCCACAACTGTGTCCTTCAGGTCCTCAAGCACAAAGAAAGCTCAGGGCCTGCACCTACTTGCTCACTTGACCCTCCATGTGCCACCTCCTCTCTGAGCATCTGAACATCTCCCCTCAAGGCTGCCCCTTCTAGCCTACGTGCCCTATGAGGGCGGGATCGCTGTTAGCCTTGCTCATTAATAAATCCCCACATCCAGCACTAAATATATTCACAGTGAATACTGGTTGGCTGAATAAGTAAATGAGTAAGTATTAATTAGTTAATTAATTGGCTGACTTTTGAAGCAGTGTTTCCTTGTATAGTGCAGACTTGAACTCACAGCCATCCTCTTGAGCACAGGGATTAAGGGTGTGCATCACCATGCCTGGCTACAAATGAATATATGAAAAGTTGTTTTTAGCCAGATTTGGTGGCCCACAGCTTTAATCCAGCACTCTGGAGGCAGAGGCAAGCAGAGCTCTGTAAAATTGAGGCCAGCCTGGTTTACATAGTGGCCAGGTCTGCACACAGAGATCCTGTCTCAAAAAACCCCAAATCAAAACAAACAAAAACCTCAGACATGTAAATGTGTAAGCTTAGGGAACAGAGTGGAGGACCCAGAAATGAACACACAGTTGCAGCCACCTAATCTTTGACCAATGTGTCAAACACAAACATTTGTAAAGATAGCCTATTCAACAAGCAGTGTTAGAGAAAATGATCATCTGTATCTCTTATCTGCAGAAAAATCCATCTGATTAAAGACCCTAGTATGATACCTGAAACTCTGAAATTGCTAGAGGCAAAAAAAATTGAAGACCTACACACAGTATCCAAGGCCCAGTGGTTTTCATCTTCCAATAAAAATAAGAAACAATAATGGCTCTCAGAAAATATGACAGCAACTAATGCCTTTGTTCCTGTTAACCTAAGCCTCTCAAAACTTTCAAGGCAAATGTGCACTGAACTTCAAATTAATCAATTTCTCCCTCTCTCCCCTCTCTCTTCCTTCCTCCATCCCTTTCTCAGCCCCCTCCTCAGACAGGGTTGCTCTACATAGCCCAGGCTGGCCTCTAACTCAGAGATCCGCCTGTCTCTGCCTCCCAGGTGCTGGGATCACAGCTGCACACCACCAAGCCTAGCCTGACATTCTTTTTAAATGATTTATTTGGAGCTGGACAGACGTCTCAGCAGCTGAGAGAATGTGTTGCTCTTGCCAAGGACTTAGGTTTGCTTCCGAGTACCCACATGGTGGTTCACAACACCTGTAAGTCCAGTTCCAGGAGATGCAGTGCCCTCCTCTGACTTCCATGGGCACCAAACACACATGGCACATACAGGCACATACAGGCACACACATGCAGGCCAGACACTCACACAATAAGTAACTAACACAGCTTGCAGAGGCTGGGTGAGTTCACTGGGTCCCCTGGAGCTGGAGTTATAGGTGGTTGTGTGCCCCAACATGGGTGCTGGGAACTTAGCTTGGATCCACTGAAAGAGAAGCAAGAGCTCTTAACCACTCAGTTACCTCTCCAGCCCTCCTCTGAAGTTCTTAAACTAATTCACGTTTTAGACGTGGAAGCTCAGAGCTGCCTCCGGGGCTGG